TGACAAATTGCTCTGAAAAGTACAAGGTGTAGTATTTACGAGTTAAAGAGCTGAGCTGCTTTAGAGGGGTAGGGTTTTTGCAGAAATGGTTCTCAGTATGCGATATATATATATATATATATATATATATATATATATATATATATATATATATATATATATACGGAATGGAAACCCTATCATTTTTCTGCATTATTAGCAACTCACTTACACGTCTGTACCGTGCCTGTGTCTCCAGCAACAGCTCCAGGTGCAGCACCTGTCCCAGCTGCAGGGCCTGGCCTTACCTGTGGCCCCGATGCCCCTGGGCCTCACCCCCCCCTCACTGCCCGCCGTCTCCTCCAGCTCCGGCCTGCTCTCCCTCTCCTCCATCCTGGCCAACTACTCCCACGGCCAGGCCCAGGCGGTGAAGGAGGACAAGGCCCGGGAAGCTGCGGAGAGAGCGAGCCGAGGGGAGGACGGGGACAAATCAGACTAGTGCCGACGAGGAGGTTTGGAGGGGGCTGTTGTGGGGTGAAGTGTCTACAAACAAAAAAAATAAAAAATTGAAAGGTGTAACTGTAAATGGAGATTGATGTAAGTCTGGCTGCTGAGTGTTGATGTAGAAGAGTCACTGCAGGGATGATGACGAGCAAAGAGGACAGACTTTTGGATGTGCAGAGAACGAAAACTGCTGAATGGCTGAGAGTGAGAGTTAAATGTTCTTATTATTTAGTGGTAATAGACTCAGTTCAGGCTTCTAGACTTTAAATAGATGCTTTTTTAAGTGTGAGCCACGGTTGTGAGGCTTAACCAAGGTAAATGTTTTCCCATTTGGAGTGAGAGCTGAGGATGAAAGCTAACAGCATTGTCCCTTACACAGATCTGCCTCTCACTGGTTTCTATTTCTTAACTCTTTTTGTTATCAGATCCCGTGCTTTTTGATCATGTCCTCCGCTGTCCCTTAGATTTCTTACTGGGCCGTCTGCCAGTCACAGTAAGCAGTTTAATGACCTCTCAGTTTCCTCTGTCGCTGTCCCTTCACTCATAACGTGCAGCTCCATTTCCCTTTTTCCCAAAAGAAAAATGTCGAGCTGTGTGGAGAGTCATACCATTCATTGATGTACTTGGAGCCAAATTGAATCTTAGTCTAATGGGATGTTTTCAAAGGGACATTTGCTTTCAAACCCTTCAAGCATGAACGACCTGACTTATCACCATTTATTGCATTTTCATACGACCAACCACTGGATGCATTACCTTAGCTCTGTACCTCAATCCCCAATAAATGGGCTTTTATTCCATTCAAGTTTTTGTACAAATGGTAGTATACCCATCTTGGGGGCTAATGTGTCAGGCCTAGCTGCTGCTGCTGCCGCTGCTGCGCACGCTACAAGGCACGGACCATGACTCAAATGACAAGAATTAAAGTTCTAAAAAAAAGTTGACTTTATTTTGACATGTGGTTTTCGTGAAGTGAAAGACAGGCTAATTAGACATTACAATGTGTCTGTGTGCTTGGGTGAATGTGATTGGAGAGAAGAAAACATTTGTTTAATTTAACTTAGTTTTTTTCTTAAAGCACCTTTTGTATTGTCCTCACACCGCCCCCTGCTCCTGCTCCCCCCCCCCGTGCTGGTCCACTCTTTAACGGACCAAGACAAACTTGAACAGGATCTAAACTTCAGAACCAGAGAGTCGTAAAATACTTACGAGTACTGTACTTCTGTAAGTTAGGAGAGCACTTCAGTTGATACTGAGACTGTATCAAGCACCTGTCTTTTCCTGTCTTGTTTAACTTGTGTGTGATTGTCAGGGGAACATCCTCCCCCCTTTTTTTAATTTTTGCATTGTTTTAATGAAGAATGTGTCCGGGGTGAGTTTGCTAAAGCTCTGTAAGCAACTCAAACAAGCGTTCCCTCTGAAAACAGCGTATTAAATGAGATTTTCACAGTCAGAATTTGTCCTGGTAACCAACTTATTGTTCCTGTTGCAAAATAACTCAAGCTGGATTTATATTAAGAGCATTTTCCCAAATCCATACTACATGCATATTCTATAAAGTACACTGGGCTGGAGTATACTGAATCTTTACTTAAATACAGCCCCTAATAAGACTTGACTGCCATGTTGGGTCGACTTAAATGACGATGTTTGGGCTACACATAATGGTGCCATGCACATTATATACCAACATTTTATTAAGTTACCATTGCAACCACCCCACATTATAAAGATTAGGCCACACTAAAAAAAAAAAAATATATATATATATATGGTCCAACAATTGCTTCTCTATCAATGTCATTGATTATTTGAAGGAGTATCACCATGGTGCTATCAAAGGTTTTGTTGCTTTGGAGTTTCTATTACGAAGTGAAACAACCCGTAAGTATCTTAACTAGCATCCTTAAAAAGAGCTGCTCTAATTATTTTATTGCTCAGAAAAGTTATTTCCTTTCCTTTCTAAACTTTTTGAAAAGAAAGAAGAAAATGAAGCCCCACAATTCCTGGCATCAACTTTTAAAGCATTGCACGTTGATAACATTTACCATTCCTAATAATAACCCTACCAGTCCTTATTAAGTCTTTATAAGAACTCTTTCAAATACGGTCTTAAGATATATTTACTGATTTCTGTATAGTGCTGTTGATGGACTCTTATCCCCCATAATGCAATGCCAGAAGAAATGCGGAACGTTTGCCCACAGCTGGATACATGTAAGCTATTGGCAATAAGAAAGATCCAATAACATCTTAGAATTTGTTTGGGAAAATACATTTTCATGTTCATTTCCAAATGCAGTGGTTGACCTACAATGGAGCACTATTTGTTTGTTTTTCGTAAGTATAAAACTATGAAATATATTGATTTTCTTTGTGTACTAACTGTTAAACAGTCTAGTATTCACTGTCAGTAGTATGGAATTGGGACAGCTGAGGTTTTGAGGAATGGTAAGGTTCATATTTAGTGCAGCAGAGGGCAGCAGTGCTCTCTCATTGATCATCAGTACAATGGGGTAACATTCACAGGACACATGTTTTTAAAGAGGTCCAGGTTCACTATGTTCGAGCTGTTATTCTCCTGTAATGCTTCCAGAGCTTTGACACTTCACCCCGTAACGTCTGAGGTCGGCTAGAACTTTTCTCCTGTATTTTATTTTGAAAGGCACTCAAGTTGTGGCTCAGTGTTCTTTATTTTTCTCCTTCCTGTCTGTGCTAGTGTTTGGGAGCTGATGATTTTCCCTCCCTGGAGATTCGACCTTAATATATGGAGTGCGAGAACACATCAGTTGCACTCCCTCTGTAGAAAACCTCCTTTGGCAAAACTTAGACATATGAATGGTATGTGTGTTTGTTTTTGCTGTGAAGGGCCAATTTGTATACATATGAATATATCAATATACATATTTTTTAAAGCATTTTTGTATGTTTCAAAGCTGCTTTTTAACGTGTGTGTATCATGGAAGACTTTGGTGTTGTATGTGTGCATTACAAGCCTACAGTTAAAGAGAGGCACAATGTTGTATACCATGTCGTTCTTCCTCCCCCATTCTCTCAGTAGGCAGTAACACTTAACATTGTTTTCTAGGTTTGTAAATGTATCTCTTTTTCTTTTCTGCAAACGAAAAAACAGTTTAATGTGTTTATGAACACGGTCTCATTTTAAGATACCTGGGGCAAAAAAAAAAAATACAAAGATGTAAACAAGCAACTGTGTACTCTAATGAGAATGAATCAACCTTTTAGCAGTAAGGAAGCTTCTCTGGTGCCTTACAAATAAAAGATGTGATTGAGAGTGGTCCTTTGTCTCTGGTCGGTGTCTATGGGGAGAATAGAAGAAGTCTAAAGGACAAAAAGGAAACATTAAAGAACATCCAAATTATTTTAATGACTTATTGAGGCTTACTCATGAAATGTAGCTTCTGATAAACTGTTAGTCTAAACTGATAGTCAACTCCTCTGCAACTAGATGATATACATTGAGTGTATCCATTTTGAGGTGATGTATGTACGATCCCATGACAGAGGGTAAGGAAGAAGAGACACAACCTCTGTTCGCAAGGAAAAAAAAAAAAAAATGTGAAAAACTAAAACGGCAGATACATTTTTTTCTAGAAACAAGTGTAGATTAACAGTGTGTCAAAAATAATTGAAAATATCTAGAAATGATTTACTGGATATTCATATTTATGAACTATAAATGTTACTTTATAGCAATACAAACTCACTATTTTGATATTCGCTTACTATTCTGTGTTTGGTTATTCAAGTCTAAGGAATGCACGCTTACGCACAGTCACACAAAGCATACACACCTATGGTACACACACTAAACCCTACACACATGTCCACTTGCTGTCCTGAAGCACACTAAGAAAACATTATAAAGCGTTTTTAAGGACTAAGCAGGAAGTATCTCAGTTGACAGATAAACATGTCAGTTCCCTCTGGTGGACAAAGGTTTTAACAGTGATATTGTTATTTAAAATAAGTATTTGATTGTTTTTTCTTTTATTGGTGTAGCATCAGCAAGTCGTGTTGATGATCCAGTGTAACCGTGGTTTCTTTCTCATTGATGTGACCATTGTGTTGAGTTGGAGGCGGATAACTCCAAAGGTGATTACAACTCCAACTATCTACACGACTAAATGGAAGTAGAGGTAAAACTGACCCTTTTGGCATGGTTTTGAAATAATAATCTCTCAGAGAAGATACACTTACAATTTAAAATATATATTCACAGCACTCTGATCTAGCAAGTGTGTTAACTTGGAAGCAATTAAAGTGAAAACACCTCTGACGTGGCCCAGCAGCCCCATTCCTTCCTGCGCCTCTGAGGAATCCCACAGCCCTCAGCTGCAGGTCCAGACACGAACCCTGCGTCAGGGTGTTATGTACACTTATTTTCAACAAGAACACAGCAGAGAAGAGCTAAACAAAACCTTCCCTTGCTCACCACAAAGACTCTTTTGAAATGTCTTTTTTCTTGTAGTTGAAGTAAGCACTCGTAGACGTCATGCTGGCTAACATTTATGGCAAAGAATTACATAAAACATCCGACAGGCTGAGGAAAATAAATGATTACATTATGTTTAATAGATTACACATATTATATAAATGTAAGGAAGATGTCCAGTTTGACTTGAAATTGTGGTTGTATTGAGGTTCAAGAGAAAATATGGTTTATCAGATGAGTATTCCCGAGTAACGTCTTCATTTGTTTTGTCTGTCCTTTTCCAATTATTTACGTGAAGTTAGTCTCTATAAAGAAAATAAATCAAGTTGCCAGCTCTAAAAGTTGTGTTATAACGTCACAGCAAAGCAGTGGTAAGCCATTCTTAAAAAGCTACACAGTTTATTAGATACAGTAGTAATACACATAATAAAAATGTTAGTAATACATAATCAGGTATTTAGTTAAAACAGTCCATTACACAGGCTTATCTTCTAAAAGACGGTACAAATATAGAGACAGGCAGATATAATCTAGCTCCAGTGTAGTTAAAATACAATTCTCATCTCAAGGTTTTTTTCTGAAGGACAGAAAAGTCTTCGGCTGGTGCTTTTGAAATTGACAGATCTCTTTCGCAGTCTTTGCTCACTTTTCGGTTTAACTCACAGCATCAACTTCTAATAACTCTCCTCATAAATGCAACACAGAATTAAAAACAACAATATATATCATTGCACACCGTCAAACAGAACAACACAATCAATCACATATTTCCACAGCACACGCCCTAAGTGACAGACACAGACAGTGGCGCTGCTGTTCCAACAGGTTTAGGGAATCTCTTGAGTTTTCAAAGCTGTAAAATAGTCGGGAAGCTGTCGCCGAGTGGAGCAAGTCTGGATTCCTGTCTAGTGGTTACTGCATTGTGGGTAAGTCACAGGTCCGTGGATAATGGAGCTGCTGTGGGAGAGGTTGAAGGCCCAGGTTAGTAAGAGGAGCTGCTGTGAGGGGCTCATACAGGTCCGGTGTAGTTGTAGTGGTTTCCGTGCTGAGGGTCGGGAGGCTGGGGGCTCGGTTTACGCTCAAGATGTTCGATCTCCGCCGTGTCTGTGTGTGTGCAGGGGGGCGCTCGCTGCTTGAAGAAGTCGGACACATATCGGACCTGAAAGGACAGAAGAGGAATCAATGCCAGAGTATAGGATGAGCTGAGGTTTTAGCTGCTAAAACTCATAACAACTTTGCTGCTCCCAGTCCTGTAATACATCCACAGTCACAGAGATGTTGACTCAACTTAAAGGTCCCCTATAATACTGTTTTTCATCAATATATTATAGGTCTCAGATACAGTGGGGCAAAAAAGTATTTAGTCAGCCACCAATTGTGCAAGTTCTCCCACTTAAAAAGATGAGGCCTGTAATTTTCATCGTAGGTATACCTCAACTATGAGAGACAGAATGAGAAAAAAAAAAAATTCAGAAAATCACATTGTCTGATTTTTAAAGAATTTATTTGCAAATTATGGTGGAAAATAAGTATTTGGTCAATAACAAAAGTTCATCTCAATACTTTGTTATATACCCTTTGTTGGCAATGACAGAGGTCAAACGTTTTCTGTAAGTCTTCACAAGGTTTTCACACACTGTTGCTGGTATTTTGGCCCATTCCTCCATGCAGATCTCCTCTAGAGCAGTGATGTTTTGGGGCTGTCGCTGGGCAACACAGACTTTCAACTCCCTCCAAAGATTTTCTATGGGGTTGAGATCTGGAGACTGGCTAGGCCACTCCAGGACCTTGAAATGCTTCTTTCGAAGCCACTCCTTCGTTGCCCGGGCGGTGTGTTTGGGATCATTGTCATGCTGAAAGACCCAGCCACGTTTCATCTTCAATGCCCTTGCTGATGGAAGGAGGTTGTCACTCAAAATCTCATGATACATGGCCCCATTCATTCTTTCCTTTACACGGATCAGTCGTCCTGGTCCCTTTGCAGAAAAACAGCCCCAAAGCATGATGTTTCCACCCCCATGTTTCACAGTAGGTATGGTGTTCTTTGGATGCAACTCAGCATTCTTTCTCCTCCAAACACGTCTAGTTGAGTTTTTACCAAAAAGTTCTATTTTGGTTTCATCTAATCATATGACATGCTCCCAATCCTCTTCTGGATCATCTAAATGCTCTCTAGCAAACTTCAGACGGGCCTGGACATGTACTGGCTTAAGCAGGGGGACACGTCTGGCACTGCAGGATTTGAGTCCCTTGCGGCGTAGTGTGTTACTGATGGTAGCCTTTGTTACTTTGGTCCCAGCTCTCTGCAGGTCATTGACTAGGCCCCCCCGTGTGGTTCTGGGATTTTTGCTCACCGTTCTTGTGATCATTTTGACCCCACGGGGTGAGATCTTGCGTGGAGCCCCAGATCGAGGGAGATTATCAGTGGTCTTGTATGTCTTCCATTTTCTAATAATTGCTCCCACAGTTGATTTCTTCACACCAAGCTGCACCTAATGCAGATTCAGTCTTCCCAGCCTGGTGCAGGTCTACAATTTTGTTTCTGGTGTCCTTTGACCGCTCTTTGGTCTTGGCCATAGTGGAGTTTGGAGTGTGACTGTTTGAGGTTGTGGACAGGTGTCTTTTATACTGATAACGAGTTCAAACAGGTGCCATTAATACAGTTAACAAGTGGAGGACAGAGGAGGCTCTTAAAGAAGAAGTTACAGGTCTGTGAGAGCCAGAAATCTTGTTTGTTTGTAGGTGACCAAATACTTATTTTACCGAGGAATTTAGCAATTCATTCATTAAAAATCCTACAATGTGATCTCCTGGATTCTTTCCCCCCATTCTGTCTCTCATAGTTGAAGTGTACCTAGGATGAAAATTACAGGCCTCTCATCTTTTTAAGTGGGAGAACTTGCACAATTGGTGGATGACTAAATACTTTTTTGCCCCACTGTATATACAAAACATGTCTCTGAAGTGTTTGGCTCGAAATACCAAACAGATCATTGCAGCATCCCATAATCCCCTCTGTTTCAAAAGTGCTGATTCTCTGTCTGTTACTTTAAATGACAATAAGGAGCCACTCCCCACGCCCTCTGAGAGATATTTGGTTAAAAAGAACACAATGGTGCTCTAAGAGGAGATTCAGGTGATAAGATGTGTGTGGGGGGGGGGGGGGGGTTACCTTGGTTGGTGATTGGCTAATGGTTACACAAGCCAAAAAATCGTTATGACATCATAAAGTGGCCAAAATTTGATCAGCTCATTTTCAGACAGGTTTTTATATAAATGGATCAGGACAAAAAGAGAGATAATCTTTTTTCCTGAAACTTTCAGAGTCTCTTTCCACATAGGGGACACATGTTGATGTATAAAATACATGAAAAAGTGGATTTTGCATAATAGGTGACCTTTAAGTCTATCTTTGGTTGCATATTGTTGGGGGGTTGCATAGAATGACATTTGATTTTAATAGAGTCCAATTTAAAACCAACACTCGAGTCTTCACCAACAGTTAAAGTATTTATTGTTTGCAGGTGTTTCTATTTTGTTTATAGATTAATACATGTTTTTTCTAGTTTCAAGGTCTGCGTTTTACTAAAAATGATGCTACATTAAGTTAACAAAACCTGTCCCACTTTACACAAAAGAAGCAAGAAATCAGCATTTGTACCTCTATATACCTCTATAGCAGGAAATGTGTGTATAGAATTTCTTTAATATATTACATACCAGTTATTCTCTTAAATGGAGTGCCTAGGCAATCTTTCGCAAATAATACAATGATGATGGCACTGGTAATTGATGGAAGTTGATGCATATATTTTTCATAAACTTGTACACCATTTCGGTTTTTCCCATTATGTATTTAAAATCGGAAATCGTCGTCGATAATACTTTGTTGTGATTATGGTGCAACTTTCTGTGAGTAAACTAGAAACTTTTGGATGCTTTGAGTTTACCAAAATAAGCCATGACATTTTGAGTTTTCTGACCATACAATGTAATTCACTATAATCAAATAAACATCCTGCACATGGGGGGGCTTTAAAACAACTGCAACCATTTTGTATTTTAAAATCTGTCTTTCAGTCCAGACGTCACAGAGACATGTTGTTGTACTCACAGTGAGCACGGCGATGAGGGCTCCCTGCAGCAGCCCCACCAGAACATCACTCCAGTGATGTTTGAAGTCAGACACGCGCGTGTATCCGACGTAGAAAGAGAACAGCAGCAGGAAGAACTGGATTGTGGGTCGAACGAGGCGTGTCCACTTCCCCTGCATCCGGGCCTGGACGTAGAGCTGCACACACACAAACAAAATATCGTTTAAAAGGTGGCTTAGGTCTATAATTGAAAAAATACACCAACAAATACATTTTACTAAGAAGTACAACTTCAAAAATATTAAATGTACCTATTTGACCTACAACACTATGATTTTTTTATGTTTTTGTGACACTATGGTACAACCATTTTTAAACTTGTGTGTTATTATATACACACTATACAATTGATTTTTTTTTTAACATAATTCAACTTTCTTTACATACTATTTGTTTGAATCGTTATGACCTATTTTACAAGGAATTCTATATGATAGACTATAGTATTACATTTAAATAAAAGTTTCTTTAAACCATTATACATGATTTTTTTCATTTGACATACTATGACATACTATTTTTTGTTTTCATGACATTAGCATGGCTCTTTTGTTTTTGACAAACTATTTATTTGGACTTAAGACATGCTATACTATGACCTTTAATAAACATTAAGAAACGTTTATTTACATTTTTTTATTTTCAATGACATACTTACTATATGACGTTTTTTTTGTGACATGCTATGACTTATATATTTTTATTAATGTATAGATTTTTAGACATACTATACAATGACATTTTATGGCACAAAAACTATACCATAACATTTTTATGATTTGTTTTTGTGAAAAAAGGTATTTCATACACTGAAAATGTGCTCTTCTCCTACTTATGATAATTTTATGTTTTCCCTGAAGCAGAGATTTGATTATCTTTTCCCCCGTTAGCCAGCCTCCATAGAGAGGTCAGAGGTCAGGTACAGAACCGTATATAAAATGACCTCCAGTCACTCCCTCATAAACCCTAACAGGGATTAAACGGTTGAATCCTTCATCTTCCGGCCATTGTAAGTGTTGTCATTAAACAAAGGTGTTTACAAACGTCTGTGTTGACACCCCCCCCTCCTGTTTTGAGTCACTTGTGTGTTTCTGGTAAAACAGACATTTCACAGATAGCGACAGAGAGTCTCACAAACAATGACAAAGACACACCCACCGACAGGAAGAGCATGCAGTACATCCCGAAGGACGAGTGGCCGGAGTAGAACGACAACCTGAGGAACAAAACAGAAACAACTCATGAACACAATTCACCTGTTTTTTTCAGTGATTTTTATAAAATTGCTTTGAGTATTCAAGTACTATGTATTAGTATTTTGAGGTGTACATGTCTTTTTCAAACAACACAAGCTCTTATAAGAAATGTAATGTGCGATTTGCATATATCAATATCCTTTGTCCTTAACACCATAAAAATAAACGTATCATTTTATTGCATGGCTAATGTCTACATCATATTATACCACCCTGCCAAAAGCAAAGTGTTAAGACAATATTTGTGTATGGGTTGAAAGCCTTCATTTGTTTTGGTTACCAGTTCAAATATGAGCCATCAGAAACTTGAATTAAAGGTCCCCTATTACACTGTTTTTCATCAATATATGATGGGTCTCGGATATATACAAAACATGTCTCGAAACACCAAATAGATTATGCATTGTAGCATCCCATAATCCCCTCTGTTTCAAAAGTGCTGATTTTCTGTCCGTTACTTTAGATCAGGGGTGGGGAACCTTCCTCTCAAGGGCCATTTCAATGTTTTCAACATCCTCCGAGGGCCATACAAATGATTGACCTCTGCTTAAAAATACTAAAATCACAGCCCACTCATTTCACCTTTCTTTCATGCTGTGCAAAGAAAAACCAACCTCTTAATCCAGATATCTTGCCATGACTCACGCATGCATGCATGCATGCACGCACGCACGCACATGCACGGTTGTGGCATGACCACCCAAACAGAAAGATATGGACACAAGATGTGTGCAAATGTATTTAGACTCCTATCCATGTGAACATGATTTAAGTGGGGGGACCTAACCTCCTCTAGGGGGGTCCGGGAAGATTTTTTTTTAAATGTTGAAGTTAAAAGCATCAATCTGGTGCACTTTGAGAACAACATTAAGAAATCTATGGATACATCTCTCAACACCCATATGAAACAGAACTGTAAACAGATTTTCTTTTTCTTTATGGATATTTTACAAATCACTCCCCTTTCAAACTGTATTCTTGTTTATTAATAACAACTTTTTTTACTGTCATATAGTATTTTATACCCGTTTGCTTTATTCTCTTATTTTTTTATAACTATAATGATCATATAAAGATGTGCCTTTACCTCACTGGTTGTAGAAAAAGCTTCTTATATTCGTTAGCATAGCTAGCAAACCAGATACTAATAACAACAAAGTTATTGACTGTATGATCAGTATGACAGATGAACAGATCGCCACTGGGCTTACAACTAAAACACAGACACGCAAAAACTGCAGCATGTGTACGGCTCCTTATGGGTACTGCAATTTTTGGAAGTGCCGGAGCGGCGTTCTGGTGCTCCCCGTCAGAAGTACACCCCTGTCAGACATACCACGTGATGACACGTTAGGCTTGTGTTGTGTTCAAGGACCCTGACCGTGGCCAGGAAAAACAGGCACTCACTTGTTTAATTATTTTGCGGTCTAGATTTCTTTAATTTTTTTCTTTTTTGCGTGTGTGTTTATAAATTACCTCGAGGGCCACACCAAATGGTCTCGCGGGCCGTATACAGCCCGGGGGCCGGAGATTCCCCACCCCTGCTTTAGATGAAAATAAGGAGCCCCTCCCCACGCCCCTCTGAGAGATATTTGGTTACAAAGAACACAATGGTGCTCTAGGAGGAGATTCAGGTGATAGGGTGGGGGGTTACCTTGGTTGGTGATTGGCTAATGGTTACACAAGCCAAACAAATCGTTATGACATCATAAAGTGGCCAAAATCTGATCAGCTCATTTTCAGACAGGTTTTTATATAAATGGATCAGGACAAAAAGAGAGTGAATATGTTTTCCTGAAACTTTCAGAATCTCTTTACACAGAGGGGACACATGTTGATGTATAAGAGACATGAAAGTCGATTTTGCATAATAGGTGACCCCTTTAAACTATATCAAACTTCTCTCCATAATAAAAGGTGTGTATGGTCACCTGGACTCAGTCACATTGCGATGGTAGCCGGTGCAGTTGATCTGCAGCATGTAGCCGTTACAGCTGACCGGGGCGCACACAGACAGGAAGTTCGGACGAGGGCGACCTATAATGAACTTGGCCATGTCGGTCAGTGATTGGCTGACTGATGCTCCAAACAGGAAGGTGCCGACCACCTTGTAAAGAGCTGACAGGTACTGGTTGAACTGGGAGTTTGAGTGCAGGCGCTTTGTGTGCACAAGGTAGGCCTCTCCAGTGGTGATCTGTGCAGAGAAAAGAGACAAAATTAAAGTTTTTCACTTAAATTAGGGAACGATGTTAGGTCAAATGTGTTTATATTACTGTTTAACAAAACTTTGGGACTAACTATAACGATGGAGCAGGTGATGGTGACGGCCGCCATGGCTCCATGGGAGATTGTGTCTCTCCTGTAGGGATAGCTGATGCTCTTATCATCGCAGTAGATTCCTCTTTGGTATGGAATGAACCTCAGTGTCAGGATGGCTGAGGGAAGAGCCGCTGCAGGAAGAAAAGACAACTTCAATATAAGGATGAAATCCACTCGACTGCTAAAGAAAAAAGGACATTCAAATTATACAATGACCACATCAAACTGTCTTAATGTTGAAGTACAGGGCATCAGAGAGCATGGACATTCACCAAAGCAGTTTTTTTACAGACAATCATGGTATATATGTGTGATGACTAGTTAAAATGTACAAACAAGTGGATCACAAGCATAACATGACAGATGATTTAAAGAAAAATATTTCAAGTGAAAAGCCCTGTTGCTAACACTGAAACGATTTCAATCATGCAAATAACTTTAACAAAAAATATCCAAATAAGCTATAGTATGCCATAATATTCATCCATCCATCAAATTGGCAAAAAGTCAGTTTATAGTATGCTTAACAAATAATTACAAATGCCATGGTTTAGCATGTCATGTAAAGTGTCATACACACTTCATAAAGAAAGTCATTGTAAATTATGCGAGTACACTTGAGCTTTTAAAATGATGTCCCATGATGATTAAAAAAAACTTTCAGAGACCTTGATGCTTCAATCTTTGAGAGCCACTGTGTATCACTATGTTGACGAGTGAGCTCAGGAAACAGCTAAAAACACACCGATAGATGAATCCTTCAGCTTTGGGCAGAAGGTCCCACTCTGCCAAGTCCATTCATTTGTCATCTCTTGAGCTCAGTGGCAACAACTTCACCTCTACGGGCCGCGGTCACTCTTCGGAGTGTCACCATGGAAACATGGGGAGAGGAAAGCCATGACCTTTGACAGTGACACTGGGGCACCGTTTACACAACACTGGTCCTGGGAGCTGAGGAGTGGACCGAGACACACACACTCATACAAAGAGCACCATATGCTCACTGACAGATACAAATGGGGTCTATAAAAGAAGTGCATGTTTTTAATAGTCTGAACTAACAAATAGTGTGTGTACCCTTGTTAAATGTTCTTGTTTTTCTGAAAGTGTAAACAAAAGACTGAGTTTAATGATGCACAACAGAAGCAGAAACACATAAAACTGTCTCTTAAATCTGAGCAGGAACAATAGTGGAATCTACAGGATTGATGTCAGGAACCTCTTTTCCTGTTTTTAAAGAGCCTGTCACTGAACTGCTGCAGTTAATGAGAGCGAGGATTGTTTGTTTTTGCAAGCAGGAGTTTTACTGTATATTCACCGGGCAATGCCATAAGAGTGGCTCTCCGAAAACACAGAGCTTCCTTCCTCCAGTGTGTGGCAGGCAGGATTAAATGAGACCCCATGAAGACACACAAACATAGAAAAGAAAATATGTTCACGACGGGTGATTTTGGGAAGGTAATTCCAACATGATGTCATGAGTCCAAATGTGAATGGGTACAGGCCAGGAGAATTAAGTCTGGGGTCCGACACACTGTGGCAGCCTGTCAGCTGGGAACATTCACAGTGTTTTCTGTTGTCTACCTGCTGCTTCACACAAGAATATTAAAGTGGCAAATTAAGTTCTTGTATTGCTTTAACTCATCATTTCAAAGTAAATTGCTGAATTAGTTAGTTAACCCTGCTTTCGATAGATTTTCTGTCTGCCATTGGGTAAATCTCCTGGGAAAGCTAATGCTCGATTTATGGCACAAAGGAAGTACGTCAACCAGCGAGGTGGAACAATTGAAGTTTCTGTGGAAAACAAAATGTGTGTCCTGTCCAGTGTTGCCAACTATTTCCCAACATGGAAAGCGATAGCTCCTGTAGTCGCTAAAAGTTGCCAGATAATGTCATATGCTCAATTGCATATTGGGGATGACATTGTGCATTCATGTTCAGTAAAATTTGGCTAAGCATGTCCTAAAAGTGGCTAAATCTAAATGATTAAGTGGCCAATTTGGCCACCATAGTCCTGTGTTGTCGTTGGTTGCTAGGCTTTGATGAAAACAGAAAGTGATTTGGTTATCTTTGCGACATCTGCTCCAAGAATAAAACCACTTGGAAACACTTGAAGGGGGAAAGTTGCAAAGTTGCATATTACCAGTTTGATGTAAAACACTTCAAGTACTTAAAACCAAAAGAAGAAGTAAAACAATTGGAAATCAGGAAAAAATCTAATAGCATACCCGTAAAAGTAAGAGTGAGAGCTTTCTTGCTTGAAGTTAAAATACACCAACACCTATGATATTGCTTTATTGGGTTTCCACTGACTGTCTCAGTATATAGTAGAATGCCCTTAGTTTAGATCACTACACACCGCTAAGGAACTGCCTAATATGTCATATTTGTTTTCTGAGTGACACTAATGGTATTTGATGACAAGCAGTTTCCTCATTGAAGATCATTTATTTTCATGAAAGGCCCTTCCCTTGCTCTTTACATCTCGGAGTTAATTATTCCAGCAGGGCGAGCACGCTCCCAGCTTCTCTTTGAAGTGAGGCCCACCATTGTTTATTCTGCAGGGTGCAAGGATAACATTTAGATAAGAGGCTGCTGCTTGTTTGACAAGTCTCTGGTGGCTAACTGCTGCCAGGGTGGGGATGTGAGAGGACAAAGTTGGGTAATGACCTTACACACACACACAGAGAGCAACCACCGCTGAGCTGATTCAACAACAGAATCAGTGAGGAAGTCGATTTCACTTCGTATCAAACATGCTCCAACAGCCTCTGGGAGCCGAGCCCATGGAGGGTATTATCCGACTGTATCTATTATTACAGAAGACCTGGTATGTTTTTATAGGCCTGTGCTGGGGGGGGCCTCCCCTCCTGGGGGCCAGGTCGAGCTGAGGGGGACTGTCAGGAGGTTAATTCCCCAAAATTACTACGCGATATCTTACCAGAAACTATGTGTACAGTTTATTATTGCTCAGTGGCCGAACTAAGAAGGATTAGGAACAATTAACGTTCTGATAAACAATAGTACAAAACAGACTGATTGTTTGACTGTAGAAGGGCTGCTGGCACCAACGAAGTGCAAAGTTGACTGGATGAATGTTATTCAAGATATCCCAATGACTGTCATACATTAAAGGGGCCCTATCATGCTTTTTTGTGGGGGGGGTTCCCTTACCTGTTGTGCGTTATACAGATTTATGTGCATGTAAATGGTCTCCAAAGGCTAAAATCCCAAAGTGTTTCTCTCCCACACACTCCCCCCCCCCCCCCCCCCCCCCCCCCCCCCGACTCTTTTGTTTATCTCAGTAACATTATGACATCATTATGTAACCCTTACACTTCTATTGGCCAGCGATTCGACACACTATAAGTGATATGCTAAAGGGGGTACATATCTAAGCAGTTGAATAATCACAACAGAGCCGGCCAGCTAACCAATCAAAAAAGAGCTTTTTGAAAATTAAAGTATGGAAACATGTCACAGTAGAGACACACAATACAAATATGACCCTGAAAATGAACATAATAGGGCCCCTTTAAAGACATTTTGATCTTGTAGAAGATATTCTCAATCTGTGTAAGACTTTGTTACTTTCCTTGCATCTGTAATTTCCTTTGTTAACTGAATTGAAATTTCCAAAACCGTATGACGAACCTCAAAGTGAATCTTTGACTGGATGACATTTGCTTGTTGAGAACTACTGAAAAAGAAAAATGTTTTGGGCACATCTAGTGCTTTTCCCAGCTTGTGTCATCCTACTCTGACATTTCACATGTAGCTGTTGAGTGTCTTCTCCTCGATGGACGTTTACAGCTGCAAGCAATGTAGAAATGAGTTCCAGCCTCTCTCTTTCTAAAGAGGCACGCACACACACACAGTTTGTCTTCCCTAACAAAATGTCCATAGGGGAGATACAAAAGGAAGAAGGGAAAGTATTGTTTTACGCTTTCACAATCTCTTCTGGCAAGAGCAAACCCCCGATTCCACTTTGAGAAAATAAACATGATGGAATTTGGGATCAGACACAAGTACAACTTCCCCCTGACCCCAGCGGGAAGTGTTCCTGTTATTCAGCCCTCAAGATGAGTCTTCATCCTCATAACTCAAACATGATAGGAAACAGAAACAGGTCACCATGTGGAAGGTGAGGATTTATTTGAGGTCAAATCTCAACAGACGGCTGTGAGTCTGCAGCTAGCGGGGATTCACAAGCAGTGTTTCACATCACACTGAACTTTATAGACATTTCTTGTTCATATGTCATTGTCTTAGACCAAAAACATGTGATGTCCATTACAATGGAGACTGGGTCTGAATTCGGTTAAAGAGGACCTATTATGCTTTTTAGGGGTTTCCCTTTAATACTTTTGTGTTTGAATTGTTCTTCGGTACGAATGTATGGTCACACAAAGGAGCAGTGTATACATGTATTCATTTGTGCGGTTTACAGTTGGCAGAAATGTCAAATGTGTTTCTAAAGTTGTAATACAATTGTTGGTGTGCATCCAGATCCTGTCATTTTAAAATAAAATGGTGAAGCATTTTCCAAAATGTCCTGGTTCTTAGTTTAAGAAGTCTCTTTTGTCCCATGATTATATTAATCAAGTCACTTTGTGGTTAAAGCAGGTTGGAATGTGGTTGTAAATAATTTTTAGTTGGCATTATGTTATAGATGTCTATAATCTGAACATACTCACTGTTCGAAAGTGTGTGAATAGGAACAATGAACTTTTACCTCGTCTTTCACATGAAACCACTTCATTACTGAAAACATGTTCTGAAACCACCACGGTTAATACGTTCAACTACACAATGATGCGTTTTACAAGAGACACACACACACCGCATCTCTTTTACATTTTCACACAGGAACGTCAGGAAGCAAAAGTCAACACTTCCCACTTGACTTTGACACTTATTTGGCAGAAGCAGATACTTGTGGCAAAATGTTAAACTGTCACATAAATAACAGCGGTTTTCGTAACAGCTCCGTTACGAAAACGTGTGTGGCTTTATTTATAACACTAAATAAAAACGGTTTCATTTCCTGACTGCTGATTCTCACCTGAACAACAACAATTGAAGGTCATTGGTGACCACAGAGTTGCAATGCTTAACAGATCGACAGAAAATGAATGTGCACCATTTCTATTAATAAGTTAGTAATTTTAATCATGTTAAACACTAGCTCTGTGATATTTGCTGTTTCATGGTATTTGTAATGCTGATTTATTAAAACAAAACTATGGCACTATGGGAACTTGTTATGCCATGTTTCCTATTGCCTGGCTAGACAAACAATTATCCTAATAAATAATGTCTTTAATTTATGTGCAAAATAAAAGGTTAAAATCAAGCACCACTTCCATGTTATTTAACTACGATCCAATGGTAGTTTGTAAAAGATCGCACACTAATAACACCACTCGATATGAAACAACTCCATTTTAAACTATTTTTTTGCCACTTTCAATTACATGTCATCATATAAGCAAGCAGTGTTTAACTTTCTAACCTCAAGTTGTCTTGAACCAACATCCTGTTTTAGCCAAAGATACAGTACATCATATTAGAAAGCTTTCAAACACTTTGTCAATGGGTTGATCCAAAAGATATAAGCGGTGAAATTGACATTATGCTGAAAAACGTCTTAATGCTTAAAGAGATTCCCAAATTGGGATCAATAAAGTACTATCTTATATTATGCTCCCTTTTATAAACATGACTGTTAACTCTGATGTGGAAGTGAGTCGTGAAATCATCCAATTGTCTTGTGATTTGCAGAAATACTGCCATTTGCTTTTCAGTTGTAGTCGGTTGCTGACCTCCCATATCCCAGACTGGGTGTAGAGATCAAAACTGGGACAAAATGCGTTTTATGGCATATTATTGGCATCAATATTAGACTCTGGAACAGATCAAAGTACCTGAACCGAAATATAAATGAAAATAATATTGGAAACTATGAATCCAGTGACCTTGAGTTCATCACCAGCTAGTTTTGCTGACAGGCAACAGCTCTTCAGAATCCCATCATGTAAAATCACCATTAAAACTGAGACCATCAGCATTAAACCAGTGTTAAAGTTCAGACTGCTTCTTCAGATAGATTTGTTCAGCTTTGTGGGAACAGGAAGTCTTTCTAAACTGAATAATTGTGTTTAAAAAGAAAGTTAGAGACAGTTAGCTTAGCACAAAGTCTACAAACAGGGTAAACAGTTCGCTTGTTGCTTTCTAAAAAGTTAGCAAAATCTGCTTACTAGCATCTCTATAGATCCCTAAGTAACACTTCATATGTTTTGTGTTAATTTGGACAACGAACAAAGTGTATAAAGTAAAAACAAAACTTAGTTTGGGGGGGGGTTATGTTTTGGATGATCTTTTGCCAGGATAGCTGTCTGCAGCCTTAATGCTAGGCTAAGATAACCGACTGTTGGCTGTAGTCAGACCTGCATTACACAGACATGAGAAAGGGGTATCTGTGTCATGCCAAAGAAAGAAAATATGCTTATTTTGCCAAAATTAAAGTAATCCTAACATAAGAAAACACTAAATGATAAGATAAATGTTACACAAACTTTAGTAGCCTGGCTAGAGTTATTGCCTTTGAAAACGTGAAACAATGGAAGAACAGAGCAGTCTGTTCTGATAAAAGTACATGTATTTACTGCCTCGATAGAAATGTAACAAAATATGTTCTGCTGTGTGTGTGTGAGTGTGTGTGTGTGTGTGCAGTGATAAAGAATAATGGCAGGATGGCCGTTTGACTGCAGAGGGGAAGAGGGAGAAATAACACACTAAACAGAATGACAGAATCAGTTACCATCTCAGCACATTCCTGCCATATCTATCACACCCACCCACCATGTTTTCAAATGAGGGGGAATCACAATCATGATAAAAACATACACAAAGCAACAAGGGAGTAGAATGGCCCTACTAATAGATGCAACAGTTAAAAAAAAGACATTTTAAACATGATGTGTGATAAAGTGTTGTTTTGTACAAGAAGCTTGTAAACCTAAAACACAAGCAGGCAAAGCATTAGCCTTGGTCTTGTGCAATAGCTAATCACTGTATTTGATTAAACACGTCTGTACATCAAAGTTTCCTAGAGCCCCAGGTTATAAAATCAAACTTTTTTCTTAAAACTAGATTCTAAATTGAGACTTTTAAAAGAATAAGATGATCAAATATGTGTCATTTTTGCCTGCAAGTTGATGGTTGCCAGTTCATTTTCTTGCGATCAAACTATTTTTCAAAGCTCTTATTTGGTCACATTACAAATCAAGTGTTTCCCTAAGATCATGTACTCATAATGAGGTATATCTTTCAAAGAAAAAATAATCTTGAGTTCAGTAGTACTGATTTTCATCTGATCGTTTCAACTGAAAGAAAGTCTACTGAATTGAATTTATAGGAAATATGATAAATGAAAATATATATATGTTCACACCACATCTGACACTGACCAAAATGATCCACTTATCATACTTTCACTTTATAAAGGCTGGTGACTAACTACCTCAAAGAGTGACACACTTTCACATTCCTGAAAAATCGCAATTGTGGGATGATTAATAAAGAGTGAGTCGAGGAAATTGTAGGAATGTTAGTTTGACAAAACGTTAATCACCACATCTATGATTTCACAACTATTACTTTAGATTGAACAATCACTTGCATTGGAGATTTGTGTCCTCACCAACTGGGAAAAACACAACTTGTTTTCTTAATTAAAGTAGCACATCATGCCTTATACAGCTCTACCTCGCCTTGTACCAGCCAATCATTTCCTAAACCAAGCTCATCCCTTAAGCTTAAAACCCTCTAAATGGACCCAAGACAGTGGACTTGAAGTTTGGATTTGCACACACATGAAAATACACTTAGCGTGAGGAGGGGGTTTCACAGCAGAGTGGTCATTATCATTCCTCCCTGTCAGTCAACAGATGGATCCACAAAAGTATATCGTTTGTAGCTGTCCTCACATGGTTTTAACTGCAGGCAAGTTCTATTTTAACCCCATATTTCACCTTCAAAAAACATCTAAAGGAAATCTGTAAAATAAATAATCATCTCTGATGCCCTTCCATATTTCATCATCTCAATTATAACCTCTGTCAGCCTCCAAGTGTCGGGATGTGAGCAGATGTGACACAAACAGCTGGAAGGTGTCATTTCTGTTAAAGGTCTTTGTGTCTTCACCGGAGTCCAGAAACAAGTCACAACAAGATAGGAAAGCTATGAAAGATAGGAGAACATGTCCCATATGAACCCAAATGATTTCAGAGAACAAGTGACAGCCAGAAATCAACAGCAACATTCTCACTCACTGTTGGGAAACAATGTGTGGCTTGTTTGAACAAGATAGAGATCAATGCCGAGTTACAACATTTATTTATACTGCAATAACTAAGTACTAATAAGTCACGAGTCTAATATGCATCTTTTTGCAGAAAATAAATTGTGCAAGTCACCTTTTATATAGATGTCAGCAGTTTCTTCATAAAACAATGAAGTGGATTGTTTGTCAAACATCTATAAATTGTGTTTGTGTTGGGCAATCCCATGCGTTATGCAATTGTTTCATAATCGTTTTTTTAAAGTATCGATTCATTGTTTTCTGATTTAACCCAATAAAGATCGCATAGGCCTACTAACGCAGACCAGAGGAGCTGCACAGCCTGAAACTAGTCATATGTTTTCAGCCATATTGTCCGGAGGGTAGTCACTCACCAACAAAGACACACAGAATATCCACCACGATCAGAATCAACTTCTTTCCTTGCTCTGTCATGTTTCCTCCGATGCCGCTGCACTTTCATAAATAAATCGCGTTTTTAAAACATAACAAAGTAGACGGCGGAGTTTTGATTTCAGAAACGCCTTAAGTTACTATGGAAAGCAGTGCTATGGGGACGAGTCGACCTGTTCTTCCGGCTCCTCTACCTGTGTGTGTCCGCTGCTTCAGGTGAGAGCAGAGGACGGGACTTGGAGCTGCGTGCCCTCGGTCCTGCCTTTTTACGCACAGGGGGCGTGTCTTTCCGTACAGACCAAGCTGCATTGAACTGTGCTGCTCACTAAGGATTTGATTTCCCGAAATGTTGCCTGTGCACTGCAGGGAAAATCCCAACTTTCTCTCGACTTTCCCTTTCTCTGGTTTCGCTTCTGGATTTGGGTGAACAGATTCAGAAGGCAAACGAACAAAGTTTTTAAACTTTAGTGGGTAAACGCATTTAAAATACCATATGAAAATAATTTAATTGTAGATGTCCTACTAAAATTGCCAGATTGAAGAGTTTAAATTCCACTATACTATGACAATACACGTTTAAAGGTCACTCATTACTTGATTGATTTGGCTTTCAATGTTTTAATACAATTGGCAAATGTGTAGCTTTTCAGAGAGAAGAGATATATAGCATGTCTTCATGTCCATAATTATGGAGTAAGTAGAATGCTATATTAAGGCATAAGGTACTAAGAGGTCATCAGAAAGTCATAAAAACTAAGAAAAGCAAATTTCAGATGTATTTCCTGAGATGTATTTCTTGCAGAAAAGTGCTTCCATATTGGCTCAGTTGATATAATATGGCCATATAACAGTGGGTGGCTTATCTTAATATTGCATTCGATAAACTCAGAGAAAATATGAATTCAAAAATCAATCCAGTGTGAGTAGCTTTAGAGACGTTTTGGCCCCAGTGGGGATCACTCACAGTATTTAATCACAGTTTTTTGACACGTGTTCCACAGAGTGCTTGTAAGAAATGTATTTTTAAATCTATTGATTTAAAGCCATCTATTTCTTCTAGTTATAGAAAAAAAATTGTACTTTCATTCTTGAGATGCATCGGCCTATCACAGTAGGAGAAGATAATAATGAGAATAGGGGCTGAAATCCATTTATTTTCAGGTTCCTGTCACACTGTCATAGCTCACTGGCACTCGAATGGAGCAGTGCTATGCAGGGTGAATAAGTTATGAATCCAAACTTTTACACAAAGCGTGCATTCTGATCAAATGTAGAAATGATGGATATGATGTTTAGAGGATGAGAGATGCTGTTACACAGACTTTTAAATATTCTTTGTTTGCAGTGTGATGCCCCTGTGGGTTCATCAGTGGAGAGGGTGTGGCTGTCCTGTCTTGGCTGCATTGATTGCAGTGATTGCATTAACTCAGGGCACCTGGGTCTGGTGCTCTGCAGCTAGTTTAAAGCCTCTCTGCTCCTGTCTGCTCTCGCGCTGTTTTCCTGCAGGCACCCGGCTCTGATGAGTATAACCAATGTGTTGAATTGACCCGTGTTGTGCAAATAAACACTTTTACCTACCCGTTGACATGTTGTGTCTCCTTTTTGTTGTGGCCTTTTGAGCCAGGTCGCAACAGCAGTGTTCAATAAGTTACTTCAAATTTAAAGTTATAATTTCTGTAAAATGGTTTTAGTTTGTCTTTGGTTTTTCACCATTACCAAAAGTGAAGCTTCCCGGAGCATCATAAGAACCCAGACCCATTTTTACTTTTGGGGAAATTAAGGGGAACATAATTTAGACTAAATAGACCACATATAACACATTTCTTACAAGTAACCCCCCCTAGTGTGAAATATCTGAAAAGTGACATATATGTAACATTGGGCTTTAATGGTAAAGTAACTCTTCTTTATAACTTAATTAATGAGGATGATTTTTTGGTTTCAAATTGGTTTGAACATTCTTTGAATTGAAGAATAAAGAATATATTAACTAGATATAATTGAATCAGCTAAATTAACTGAGCAGATCATAATCATATTTCTAATTGTGCATATATGTCACTCCGGGTTTACTGTGAAAGTTTAGGGTTAAAGTCCCGATGTGACACCAGTGTCACAGCGATATTTATCTCATTTGTTTCATATCAATTTGATCAAGAAATGTTTCCACAACAGGTTAAATGTAATAAAGGACATGTTATGTAAGCATTTTAATTCTTAAATGGCTTGAATTTTACCTTTAGCAAGAAAAATAAAAAGCTTTTGAAATGTAGCTAGTTCTGTCACATGTGTTAATCTGAAACATGGACATCTTGGACATGTTGTTATGGGAACACAAAATCACATGACCTGGCCCATGACCCACCGGACTGTTCAGTGTGTGTCACTTAGGGAATTCATCAGATATAAACAAGGCTAAAGCTGTATGAGGAACTTTCCAGAACATTTAAATGTCATGTGACACCTGTGTCACGGTGGGTCCTATTGGGTTTAGCTGCATACTAGCACGAAAAGTTAAAACAGGCCTACTCAAACATCAGTGTAAACAGTATTTACAGAAGATGATGTTGCGTGCAAGCAGCATTCTTCTTATTTACATTTCTCAGTATTCAAAGAATGTCTCAAACAAACTGTCCAGTATAGGAATCAGCTGTCTCTGGTAGCACAATGTCCACAACACATTATAAAACCTTCACAGTGGATCAAACAAAAAAATATCACAAGTCATTTACAAATAAAACTTTATACTTTTTTTTCACGTTTTGTTTTGTCTTATTCATACAGCAATGTACTGTAATTATACAGTACATACTGTAATTAAAATAGTATTTTGATGTCAAGTCATGACTGTACAATTTCTGTACAGACAATTAGCTTAGCATCAAGACAGGGAGGAAGCAGGGAAAACAGCCAGCCTCTGTCCAAAGGTAAATAAAAAAATCCCTAATAGTACCACAAATGATTGTTTTTACAAATGTCTTTGTTTCACAGTTCATACTACATTTTTTACCTGTGGAACCTATTATTTGTCAAGAAAGCAGGAGTATGTTTGCAATAAATGTACACCATTACTTTACATTGGGGAGGCTGGATACAAAAAATCACAATACTTGGCTCCCTTATTTGACTTGAAAAACTAATCCAAAATCCAGTCTTCTCAGTTATTTCTACATTCATAATACTGAGCATTTAAAAATGTTGATTCACTCTCAATGCAAAGAAATGTTTTATAAGAAGTCGATGGGGTTGTACATATTATCAATTGACACTGTGATCAAACAATTAAAGTTGTATTTCCCTTTAATTAAATCAAACAGCAGGGGAGATGGGTCACACTGCAGGGAGGTAGGAGAAATCGACAAAAGTAGAGTGGGAGGAAGGTGATCCCGACACACTCAAAATGTCATCGAGATGAGGGCAGGCCTGGAGCGAGGGGACAGACTTATACAGACTTTGAGAAGAAGGGTGTCTGGGTGCTGTGCCCTGAGGAGGATTGAGAGGAGACAGGGCTCTGATGTTTTTTCAGGAAAAGAGGGACGTTTTTCAGCTCATCTGTTTGGTATGGAGGGGACTCAGATCTCCTGGAGCTCACAGACGGTTCACTGTCTCCACCTAGCTGCCGCTTAACGTCAGTAACGCTGACAGAGCTGTGCTGCCAGGTGTTGGATTGGAGATATGTGGGGGACGTGAGGGGTGAAGGGACACTTTGGAGCATCTCAGGGAAGACGACTTTGGCGTAGATGGAGGATATATCAGTGTCAGAGGTCGTCCTGGCTCTAGTTGGGTCATTCTCCGATTTTCTGGTGTTTTCAGGTGTCGAAGCTCCTGAAACTGGCAGCGAAGAGTTGCGGTGACAGAAATACATTTGGAGACTTTTTTGATAGTCGAGGTCCTGATCTGTGTCCGGGCTCTGCAGCTCACATTCATCCAGCAAAATAACTTCAGAGTATAAGATTTCAGCCTTTTCCACCACCGTAGGCCACTTAATACTCTGAGGTGAAGAGACAAAAGGATTTTTTGGGGGTTAACAGTTTTTAATTTTCTGCTCGTTAAACCTGCAATAAGCAGGGAGCAGCACAAACAAGTGACACAACATTACAGTTTTTTTAATTTATTATCGTAACTTTTAAGTTGATATTGCAAACATGTTTGCATATTTCCACATCCAGTACTTACAGAGAAAAGATTATTATTAATTTCGAAATTTGCTTCTGGCCATCTAGTGACTTGCACTCTGTTTTACCTCGTGTTTTGGTCTCTACCAAATTCTGAGTGAAATATGTGGCTCGTCAGCTGCTAAATGATCCACTTAGTTGGACAACTAGTCTCCAACTATGTCAGTGTGCTGGGTAAGCAGTTCTTAATGTGTGGGCCTACAGTATGCAGCAGTGGACAAAGTACTAATATTATACTTATGTAAATGAGTTATTCCACAGTGTGGAAATACTCTGCTACAAGTAAAAATCTTGATGTCAAACTATAACTAACTTGAAATTGCATTACAGAAATCTCTCTCCATTTCAAATCACGTCTCAAAACATATCTTTTCCCACTGGCATATCCACCCTGATCACATGACACTCTGTTCTTATTGGTTATATTGTCCTGTTTTTCTGCTGGTGTATCGTTTTGTGTTTTTGTATTTCGCTCGGCGACCTTGAGAGCCTTGAAAGGCGCTTATATAAATAAACTGCATTATTATTATTATTATTATTAAGTATAGTACAAGTTCCTCGAAAATGTTTCTGGGTAAATGTCTAGAGTAAAAGTCCACCATTGACAGTGTGTTAGGATTTAGCAGACAGTTGATAGGAGAGGGTTTAAACTTTCTAGTTTACCTCCAAATGAATTTTGGGACTCCAGCGGGCCAAGCTGCTTTTGGAAGGGTTGGGGATGTCTCGACACAGCTTCTGTTTCACCCTGCAAGGTTATTTGTTAGGATAAACTTTACAGAATCAACAAAATAATTACCGGAAATTATGAACAAATATTCAAAGTAGGCCAACCAGTAAAAGTGTGACACTGAATTTAGAGTAGGAATGTGCAGAGTACGCACATCCTTTACTCAAGTAGAAGTACAGATACTCGTGTTTAAAAATACTCTGGTAAAAGTAGAAGTACTGACTAAACTTCTTTACTCAAGTAGAAGTATGGGCTTTGACATTTACTTAAGTAAAAAGTATCCATAACTACCAACTGTTTTAAAGAGTACCTCACCTCCCTTTATATTAATAGAACAATCATGTCATTGTTAGCTAATGAATGTTTCGATGCTG